AACGTTGCTTAAACGTCGGTTCCCAGAGCCACTCTGATATTCTCCTTCACATGAAATTCGTTTAACGTTGCTTAAACGTCGGTTCCCAGAGCCATCTGAATTCCTTCACATGAAATCGTTAAGTTGCTTAACGTCGGTCTCTCAGAGCCACCTGATAGTCAGTTCACATGAAATTCGTTAACCTTACTTAAACGTTGTTCCCGACACACTTTGATATCTAAGTTTAGGCTTTAATAAAAACTTCCCAACCATTAGCACATTCTGATATAAATGTATATCTAATAATTCAACGTGAAGAATCTAAAATAATTTAAAATTAATGACAATATTGCAAAATCGTTTAACAGTAATGATAAATTTTGTATTAAAAACATCTAAGGTGCAGATAATTAAAAAAAAATATAGAGTAATTACTTGATAACTGAAAATAAGACATAAATAATCATTACATCGTAATTTATGATAATTTGGCATTAATGGCACGCATATATTTATCATCACGGCAATTATCTCAACATTGGCTCGTTAAAGCTCATTTAATTTTAAGTGATTTTTAGTGAAAAGTTTTACGGTTTATAGGAAATGATCAGCCGAGTTAATAAGGTTTCAGAGTAACTCTGAGATGCATCAGTAACGTACCTACTAAGAACAAAACAAATGCTTGTCCAAAGGTACAAAGTTTGTAACACGAAAATTCTTAGTTACATAAGTCTTGTTTGAAGTTCGAATTTGTTTTAACCAAAACCAGGACGTTTGCAATAATTATTTGTTTTTTAATAGGAAGAGTTATAATGTTTTAAATTTGAATTTACACAAAAGATGTATTGTTATGAGATATGTATCGGAAATGATGTCCACAAATGCATGTGAAATCTTTCCATTTGTGAAATCGTTCATTGAGAGAAATGCTCTCATTTATTTATCATTTTCCTTTCTTTCAGCTGTCTCTCCCTTAACTCTGTATCCCTCAGCTATCTATTATATCAGCTACCCGTTCCTCATTTATCTATTCCTAAGCTATTTATTCTTCAGCTAGCTATCCCTCAACAATTCATCCACCAACTGTTTAGCATCGAGTATTAATTCTCAAGATATTTTTCTCAGCCTCGGTTTTCTGTTTCTCATTTATCTCGCCCTAAACTACCTATTCCTCATCTCTTTTACACATTTGCTTGCTATCTACCCAGTAAATAGAAAAATATAGCGAAGGTCTTGGAGCTTACCATCTCCTTTAGTGGGTTGTAATACCTTGTAATGGAACGTGATTCTCTGTGGTCAACTGCGATCCACTATAGTGGACTGCGATTGTCTGTTGTGAATTGTGGTCCATTGTAGAGGATTATATTAATCTGTAGAGAGTTGCGATACTCCTGGAGGATTGAAATTTTCTCTAGACGATTGTGATCCCATTTAAAGGACTGCGATTCCCATAAAGGATTGCAATCCTTTCCAAATATTATAATCCTTGAAAAGGATTGTGATCCCTTTAGAGGGCTGCTAACCCCATTAGATGATTGTTAACATCTCAAAAGGACTGTGATCCCTAGTAGAAGAATGAGATCCCTTGAAGATGATTTCTTTGCCTCAAAGTGGATTAAGATTTCCTGTAGAGGATTCCTATTTTTTTTATTAAGCACTGCAATCCCTTGTAGAAGTCTCGGATCCAATAAAGAAGATTACCGATGCTATCTCATACGATGAACAAGGGAGATTTGCAAAAGCTGCCATTGATCAAGTCTTTTGAATGGATATTTTATGGATGAAAACGAATGAAAATGAAAAATGAACGAACCATTATGAGTGTGTGGTCTTACAAAAGAGGTCTAATATTTATATATTTTATTATGCCATGCCAGGAAAATGTATGAAAGATATATTATCTTCAGTTATTCTAGCAGCATCTGTGGTAGTAACTCCAGAGTTAACCCACCATCAACTGTGGTGGTACTAGTATAGTAACACCACCACACCAGATATGGTGGTTATAGCATAGTAACACCTCCTCCCCCAGACGTGGTGGTACTATCATAGTAACATCACCCCCACCAGACGTGGTGGTACTATCATAGTAACATCACCCCCACCAGATGTGGTGGTACTAATCATAGTAACATCACACCCACCAGACGTGGTGGTACTATCATAGTAACATCACCCCCACCAGATGTGGTGGTACTATCATAGTAACATCACCCCCACCAGATGTGGTGGTACTATCATAGTAACATCACACCCACCAGACGTGGTGGTACTATCATAGTAACATCACACCCACCAGACGTGGTGGTACTATCATAGTAACATCACCCCCACCAGACGTGGTGGTACTATCATAGTAACATCACCCCCACCAGACGTGGTGGTACTATCATAGTAACATCACACCCACCAGACGTGGTGGTACTAACATAGTAACATCACCCCCCACCAGACGTGGTGGTACTATCATAGTAACATCACCCCCACCAGACGTGGTGGTACTATCATAGTAACATCACCCCCACCAATGTGGTGGTACTATCATAGTAACATCACCCCCACCAGATGTGGTGGTACTATCATAGTAACATCACACCCACCAGACGTGGTGGTACTATCATAGTAACATCACCCCCACCAGACGTGGTGGTACTATCATAGTAACATCACCCCCACCAGACGTGGTGGTACTATCATAGTAACATCACCCCCACCAGACGTGGTGGTACTATCATAGTAACATCACCCCCACCAGACGTGGTGGTACTATCATAGTAACATCACACCCACCAGACGTGGTGGTACTAACATAGTAACATCACCCCCACCAGACGTGGTGGTACTATCATAGTAACATCACCCCCACCAGATGTGGTGGTACTATCATAGTAACATCACACCCACCAGACGTGGTGGTACTAACATAGTAACATCACCCCCACCAGACGTGGTGGTACTAACATAGTAACATCACCCCCACCAGACGTGGTGGTACTATCATAGTAACATCACCCCCACCAAACGTGGTGGTACTAACATAGTAACATCACCCCCACCAGACGTGGTGGTACTAACATAGTAACATCACCCCCACCAGACGTGGTGGTACTAACATAGTAACATCACCCCCACCAGACGTGGTGGTACTATCATAGTAACATCACCCCCACCAGAGGTGGTGGTACTATCATAGTAACATCACCCCCACCAGACGTGGTGGTACTAGCATAGTAACATCACCCCCACCAGACGTGGTGGTACTAACATAGTAACATCACCCCCACCAGACGTGGTGGTACTATCATAGTAACATCACCCCCACCAGACGTGGTGGTACTATCATAGTAACATCACCCCCACCAGACGTGGTGGTACTAACATAGTAACATCACCCCCACCAGATGTGGTGGTACTAACATAGTAACATCACCCCCACCAGACGTGGTGGTACTATCATAGTAACATCACCCCCACCATACGTGGTGGTACTATCATAGTAACATCACCCCCACCAGACGTGGTGGTACTATCATAGTAACATCACCCCCACCAGACGTGGTGGTACTAGCATAGTAACATCACCCCCACCAGACGTGGTGGTACTACCATAGTAACATCACCCCCACCAGACGTGGTGGTACTATCATAGTAACATCACACCCACCAGACGTGGTGGTACTATCATAGTAACATCACACCCACCAGACGTGGTGGTACTATCATAGTAACATCACACCCACCAGACGTGGTGGTACTATCATAGTAACATCACACCCACCAGATGTGGTGGTACTATCATAGTAACATCACACCCACCAGACGTGGTGGTACTATCATAGTAACATCACCCCCACCAGATGTGGTGGTACTATCATAGTAACATCACCCCCACCAGATGTGGTGGTACTATCATAGTAACATCACCCCCACCAGACGTGGTGGTACTAGCATAGTAACATCACCCCAACCAGACGTGGTGGTACTAGCAAAGTAACATCACCCCAACCAGACGTGGTGGTACTAGCATAGTAACATCACCCCCACCAGATGTGGTGGTACTAGCATAGTAACATCACCCCAACCAGACGTGGTGGTACTAACATAGTAACATCACCCCCACCAGACGTGGTGGTACTAGCATAGTAACATCACCCCCACCAGACGTGGTGGTACTAACATAGTAACATCACCCCCACCAGATGTAGTGGTACTAGCATAGTAACATCACCCCAACCAGACGTGGTGGTACTAACATAGTAACATCACACCCACCAGACGTGGTGGTACTAACATAGTAACATCACACCCACCAGACGTGGTGGTACTAACATAGTAACATCACCCCCACCAGACGTGGTGGTACTAACATAGTAACATCACACCCACCAGACGTGGTGGTACTAACATAGTAACATCACCCCCACCAGACGTGGTGGTACTAACATAGTAACATCACACCCACCAGACGTGGTGGTACTAACATAGTAACATCACACCCACCAGACGTGGTGGTACTAACATAGTAACATCACACCCACCAGACGTGTGGTACTAACATAGTAACATCACACCCACCAGACGTGGTGGTACTAACATAGTAACATCACACCCACCAGACGTGGTGGTACTAACATAGTAACATCACACCCACCAGACGTGGTGGTACTAGCATAGTTACACCCATCTATTTATACCAGGGTGTGAATTTTCTTTCCAACTGATTTCTCGGTTTTCATTGATCAGTATTTATACAAATTTCACTTAAGCATGTAGCACATAGCTTACGCTACATTGCTAAAACAAGGACGAGATTCGAGCCAACACCCAACAGTCTTTTAATTATCCACCATGTTATTACTAACCGGTGTGACCATCTGGGAAGGTGGTTACTGGCAGAAAGACCCAGTTTAGTCAATGCAGCAAACTGTTAAGTCCAGCCTCAAATATATGATGGGAAGCTATTACATTCGTAACACATTACTAAGATGATGATAAAGATTGTTATTTTATGTCTCCCACAGAAGTTCGACCCTCGTTGGCTACACCACTGCAAAACTTGACTGTAGCAGCGGGACGTAGAGCCAGACTGACTTGTGTAGTGGAGAACCTGGGTAACTACAAGGTGAGTAGTAGTAGTAGTAGTAGTAGTAGTAGTAGTAGTAGTTGTTGTTGTTGTTGTTGTTGTTGTTGTTGTTGTGGTGGTGGTGGTGATGTTGCTAGTGGCGGTGATGATGACGGCGATATTGTTGTAGGTGGTGGTGGTGGTGACTTTAATGGAGGTGATGTTGGTGGTGGTGGTGGTGGTGATGTTGGTGGTGGTTGCAGAGGTGGTGGTGATGGCAGTGATGTTGGTGATGGTGGTGGTGGGGGTGATGGCGGTGATGGTGGGGGTGGTAGTGGTGGTGGGGGTGGTATTGGTGATGGTAATGGTGGTTGTGATGGTGGTGGTAGTGGTGTGATGGTGGTGGTAATGATGGTGGTCGGGGTGGTGGTGATGGTGGTAGTGGTGGTTGTGGTCAGGGTGGTGGTGGTGATGGTGGTGGTCGGGATGGTGGTGGTGGTGATGGTGGTGGTGGTGATGGATACTTCAAAGGTAAGTTTCCTGCATTTCAAAGAGAAATTAGATGATACCCGAGATAATCTCTCTCTCTCTCTCTCTCTCTCTCTCTCTCTCTCTCTCTCTCCTCTCTCCTCTCTCTCTCTCTCTCTCTCTCTCCTCTCTCTCCTCTCTCTCTCTCTCTCTCTCTCTCTCTCTCTCTCTTACACCAAACCATCAACTGAAAAGAACGAACTTTGCCAATTGACTGTTTGAATCACTTAGTGGAGAGACCCAGATAAACTTCATGAGAGCAGTTTCCATTTAAATTACTCTATTTTCCATTGGGCTTGGTGAAAGTCTGTCAGGTAAGGAGCCATAATAACCTCAGCTTCCCTGGCTGCCTGAGGGATTAAACCCTAACACTCTATACCTGGCTAGTTCCAGTCCAGCTTCAAAACTATACCTGGCTAGTTCCAGTCCAGCTTCAAAACTATACCTGGCTAGTTCCAGTTCAGCTTCAAAACTATACCTGGCTAGTTCCAGTTCAGCTTCAAAACTATTCCTGGCTAGTTCCAGGCCAGATTCAAAACTGCACCTGGCTAGCTCCAGCTCAGCTACAAAACTAGCACGAGGTATCCCAAACAATATCATCCAAGATTAACTAATGTTCTGGAATAAGTTCTCGAATAACCTTGTAGTGTTCTAGGTTCTTCCTATGAGAGAGATTGGTTAGTTAATGGGACTTAATCACAGCCTGTCGGCTAAACGAGTTATTAAGTACGCATGTAAAATGTTTACCACCAATCAAGAACACCTTAATTCCTAACATGTAGATTACAGTAAACTTTGAGTGTATTTACACTAAGAGATACACATCTCTGGGTGAAATTATCCTGTCTTTGTGAGAGGTTAGTTGATACAGCCTATCGAGTGCACGAGGATCGAACTAAGGATCGCAGTAAACTCTCAGCATATATACGTTGAGAATAAAATACTCCACGTAGTATTTATTCTGAGAGAGAGAGAGAGAGAGAGAGAGAGAGAGAGAGAGAGAGAGAGAGAGAGAGAGAGAGAGAGAGACAGAGAGAGAGAGAGAGAGGGAGAGAGAGAGAGAGAGAGAGAGATAGTTTTAACTTGATACGTCGTTTTGTATAAATATTTATTACACTGCTTACTTGGTGAAAATTGTGCCTGTCCTCTCCTCTCTCTCTCTCTCCTCTCTCTCTCTCTCTCTCTCATCTCTCTCTCTCTCTCTCTCCCCTCTCCTCTCTCTCTCTCTCCTCTCCTCCCCTTTTTCCTCCTTCTCTCTCTCCCTCTCCTCTCTCTCTCTCTCTCTCTCTCTCTTTTCTCTCTCTCTTCTCTCTCCTCCTCTCTCTCTCTCCTCTCTCTCTCTCTCACTCTCTCTCTCTCTCTTCTCTCTCTCTCTCTTGTAATTATGTTAATTCTTCAGTTCCCGAAGTATTGATCCATCATTATTCATTAATTCACGAGCCAAAATTATTACTCTGCGTTACAATACTGCGGTAAGTTTTGCAGAGGTGTAATTTAGTCGACTCCTGTCGACTAATGTTAGAGTTTATGTTTATTTGTTCACCCCTAAACACAATTTACTTTTGCTTGGAGTTATATTGACAAAATCCACTCTAAATGTTTACAATTTATATTGATAGTTGAATGTATATTTATTAGGTATCACGAGAGTGGCTGCCTGATTTTTTCCTACATTGAGAATATATACAGAGACGTGTTTTTCTTTCAAAATATATATATATATATATATATAATATATATATATATATGTGTGTGTGTGTGTGTGTGTGTGTGTGTGTGTGTGTGTGTGTGTGTTGAGCGTTTACTTTAAACCTGTTTTAAGGATTAAAGTATTCTTATCTAGTGGTAAAATGGTTACGTGTAGCCTTAAGAGCTCTCTTGTAGTGGATAAGCTTTAAACCCCCGTTAACTAATTAAGGTTTCCGTTTATATCTGAAGAACACCTCATCCGATCATCTTCTAGTTTTAATCATTAGTGTTCTGTAACTAGTGAAAGTTTGTTTCTGTCTGATACTGTGAAGACGTTTAAACTAATTGCCTTCAAACTTGCATCACTTTTCTAACCTTATTCATATATGCACTCACATGCATATGCATGCTCACATATACATACATATATATATATATATATATATATATATATATATATATATATATATATATATATATATATATATATATATATATATATATATATATATATATATATATATATATATATATATATATATATATATATGCAATAAGATCAGAGTAAACAGGTGATTTCAGAATATGCAAAACAACCACTGTGAAAGAATAGAGAAATTCAAGAAAAAATGAAAGTAATGCATTATTAAATTATTAAACTTTGCATTGTTGATGCAAAATTTGTATTTAATGATAAGTTTTACACTCAGAAGTTTGGTATGGCAATGGGAAATCCTCTTTCACTTGTTCTTAGTAACCTATACATGGAATTTTTTGAAACAAGGCTGTTTAACACAATCCTCCCTAATAGAGCTAAATGGTTCAGATATGTTGATGATATTTTGTGTCTTATGCCCAAGAATGTAGATATACACCATTTCCTTGGAAAATTAAATAGCTTAGCCCATTCTATAAACTTTACTCTTGAGTTTGAAGAAAATAACTCATTGCCTTTTCTAGATGTTTTAATTATTAAGAGTAATAATGAATTCAAATTTAAAATTTACGGAAAACCTACAAATAACTGTTCCTATGTCCACTATTATTCTTCCCATCAAGATAGAGTTAAACTGTCTGTTTTCTCATCAATGTTTTTGAGAGCTTTACGTATTTGTAGTCCAGAGTTCATAGATGAGGAAATATCCAAAATTTATGAAATAGGTAATGATTTGAAATACCCAAGAAACGTAATTGATAAATCTTTTAAAATTGCTAGAAATAATTTTTACAATCCAAAAAGGGACAACCAGCCTTATTCAACTAAAAATATGTTGGTTCTCCCTTACCATGAAAATTTAGTTGATATGCCTTCTCTTCTTAAGACTTTTAATATCAAAGTTGTATTCAAAAATCTTGATACAGTAAAAAAAAACTTTTGATAAAGAATTCCCCCCAAAATGCTGATGGATGTGTCTATAAGATTCCTTGTAAAATTTGCGATGAAGTTTATTACGGTCAAACTGGTAAAAGTCTCGAACTAAGATTAAAACAACATAAATATAGCATTAGAACTGGACAAGATTCCAATGCTCTATTTATTCATGTAAGAGATTTTAACAATCCAATTGATTTTCAAAAAGTTGAGAAAGTAGTATCAAGCAAGTCCATGGTCGACAGGAATATAATTGAATCTTGTTTCATAAAAAGCAGTTTTGACAATAATATGAATATTTCCTTTGGTTTATATAAATTAGATCCATTTATAATTAATAGAATTTAGGAAGAATTTAATAATACATTGGACAAATAATAAATTTTAAAATTCTTAATTCTTGGGTAGAATAGTTTGTTAGTGGATTGTGTGAAGGACCTGTCTAATTGGGCCAGCAGGCCTGCAGCAGTGTTCCCTTTCTTATGAGTCGCGCGTCAGGTGTTGCTTTCTTGTGGGATGTGATAGTGAGGTGTGGGCTAGACCATTTATATACCTTCCTTTGATGCATTATTTTCATTGTTCCTTAATAATGTGAGTAGTCACGAACGCGCTTGGAATTTCTCTATTCTTTCACAGTGGTTGATATATATATATATATATATATATATATATATATATATATATATATATATAATATATATATATATATCGTGCCGAATAGGCAGAACTTGCGATCTTGGCTTAAATAGCAACGCTCATCTTGCCATATAGGACAAGTGAAAATTTATGTATGCAATAATTTCGCCAAAATCATTCTGAACCTAACGAAAAAAATATATTTCATTGTGTTTGTTTAGTATTAAATTACTGTAAACAAATCTAAAATATATTTAGTTGGGTTAGGCTAAAATAAATTGTTCTTGTTATAACAAAGTTAGGTAAGTTTTCTAAGATTCTTTTGGTGCAAAATTAAAAATTTTTACATTAACATTAATGAAAAAAATATCTTTAAACATATAAAAGAAAATTTCAGAAAGGACTTAATTTTAAATGAGTTCTTGCTAATTGACCAGTTTTACATATTCGGCACGACATAATATATATATATATATATATATATATAATATATATATATATATATATATATATATATATATATATATATATCTTCTTTCAACAAACTAGCCATATCCCACCGAGGCAGGGTGGCCCATTTTAAATTTAGTGATTTATACAGGAGAATTGGTTACTAGCCCCTTGCTCCCGGCATTTTAGTCGCCTCTTACAACACGCATGGCTTACGGAGGAAGAATTCTGTTCACTTCCCCATGGAGATAAGAGGAAATAAACAAGAACAAAAACTAGAAAGAAAATAGAAGAAAACCCAGCGGGGTGTGTATGTATATGCTTGTACATGTATATGTAGTGTGACCTAAGTGTAAGTAGGAAGACGTACCCGAAATCTTGCATG